TGGGGAGGTGGTGCAGTGTGTTTTTTTCTTGCGGTCGTGTACGCGAAGCGGGATAGCGGGGTCAAGGGTCGCAAGCACTCTGGCTGTGAAAGTGGCGTCGGCGGAGGCGGGCGGGTGGGCTACCTGACAGAACGATGCGCGTGAGGCGTGCGTCAATAGCTGATGTAATGTATCGTAGACGAAACAGAGTCGACGGTAGAAAGAGGAAAATGTGAGGAGAGCGGGAGGAAGGTGAGAAAGCTGGAGGGAAGGGAAGGGAAAGGAAGAAGAGAGGTGGTGAAGGCGAGAGAAAGGTGAGGTGAGAGAGATGTGTAAGTTGGGTGAAGGATAGAAGAAGAGGAAAAAGAGATGGAAACCATGGGCTACCTACTAAGGTACTAGGTAGCTACTAGGTAGGTACTAACCCAAGGTACCTAAGCTGCGGAAGAAGGTATTGCACCTGTTGTAAGGTAAAGCAATTGGATGGCCAGGGCCAGAACCAACCCAACCTAAGACAACTGAAAACATTGAGTGACCTACCACTGACCACACAGAAAGAGTGTTCCAGTTGTATTGTACCTGCCAACCAAGCAGCTAAAACCTAGGTGCAGTGCCTTTGTCTAAGGTAGGTAGGTAGGTACCTAGTACCTATTGTGGCAGCAGGAGCCCGTAAATGGAGTGGAGTAAGACAGGCAACACATGGAGGGGAAAGAACACACAGTAGAAGCGATAAAACACTTGTGAAATAAGTACTCTACTCAGTACTGCCTTCGTAACCCTTATGTATCTACTGTTACATGGTCGCTCAGGTGAGGGGAAGATATACCTGAGAGGAAAGTACCGAAGCTTTGATACCTTACCTTAGTAGGTATCCACACCCGTGCATGGACTTCTTTTGTGGGCATAATATGTCCATTGTTTGCTCTGTCGAGGACGAGCTCAACACCTCAATCTCAAAGTCTTCTTGCTATGAGGGGGCAAACACCTAGAGTCGTAATCTTCAAGCTCTTCCATACCGACTACTCTAGCTACCTCTATACCTTGTCCTGGCTATCTTACCCGTACTTGATTCATCTGAGAGATTAGGGGGTATCTATGTACCACAACGCCGCCGTTACCTTAGGTAGTAGCCATAACTGACGGGACGGGACAGGCACGAACGGTTATGATAATGCTCAACCCCGCTCTTCAATGCTAGGGCAAGATATCTTTATATATGTTGACGATGTATTCCTGGCTTCTTAGTACAGGTAGTCAAAGCTATACACGTTGGCACAGGTAGTTAAGAACGAGGCTAATGTAGACAGAAAAGTTTCATGCTAAGCGTGGTGTCTTCCATCTCACAATAGCCGTGTCACACACACACAATGTCAGTGGAAGGCCAGGATTTCTTGGCATATTCCACTAATGCTGTCTGGGAATCAAGCGAGCATCCCAAGTTCCTGGCATCTTTCCCTTCCCTTCTGCCCCCCGGAGTGCAAGATGACTTCTGGCGTTAAATGGGGGTGCTAAAAATACTTGGTCTAAGATCCTCTTAAACTATACCTAAATGATGCTAAGTTCACCCAAGGCTTTTTGTCACCTAGGTATGATAGAGGTCCTAAGTTTTATTACATCCCCTTGCTGCCCACTAATTCCGAAGCCCACACTCCCTGGCAACCTAGTCACTCGGGAGTTTTTCAGCACACCCACGCGGGCCGGAGTGGGCCACGGAGGTGAGCATTGAGTTGTGACTTTTGTAATCGCCCACAGCCGATCAGCGCTGCATCGTTCCATTGATCGCTCTTTCGGGCTGATACTAGATGCTAAATAATGCTACCAAGTACAGGGAGGACAAAGAAGCGAGAACATCTTGGCGGGCGAGAGCATCCCGACGATCACATCACCGTGATGCGGTCTAGGCGGCGTTGAAGAAAACCCAATGGCAGATCAAAGGTTAAGTTTCGCAACCTCATTGGACATTCTTCGTGATAATCAACAGGGAGCTGCAGCTTTATTTTGGCCGATGTTGAAACACGCCACCGATAGCGATGAAATATTAGTATTTCTCGACTATCCTCCTATGCTTCTTCAAGAATCAATTCCTTCGCCTTCGGCTCCAGCGGATTCCTCTCTCCCCCCCAGCTCGAAAGCTGTACAACGGCCGCTCCCGCAAGTCGTTAACAACGTGCCAGCTCGCTTGATATTCTGCAGCACAGATCATCCATAGCCAATGCCTTTCCATCGCACAGTTGCTCGAAGTGCACGAACGCATTGTGACAAAGGGTTAATAAGTAATGCTTATTGCACTTTATATCACCCGCCTGCACCTCCGGTCTCTGGGATTGGTTGTTGGATGTCCACAGTTGGTGGAGTAATGCAGCAAAAAGACACCAAGTATCTCGGCTGACAACCTCAAGCGCCTGTCGTGCAGGTCACATAGTCATTGCCAAACTTGCAAGTGGTATTACCGTGAGTAACATCGTGCCAAGTGATTTCATATATTACCGTTGCGATGTACCGATCGAGAAGCAGAGTCGACTGTTAAAGACGAGAATATCCAATGATACTTTGACTACATATCAACAGTCGCTTCTCTCATCGTTGTCGTAGCTTTTGCTCATGCTCTATCCAAAAGTTCTTGCACGCCTTATGTCCCCAATGGTCTATCCACCACTCTCCAAAGCTATCCTCGACTTCGTAATCTACTTTGGTTACTCTCTCGTCTCTCTTCAGACCACAAATAATACAAGCCCTTGGTGCTGTCGGTACCATCTTGGCTGTATGCACTTGCATGTTCTCGCTAATCTCAGGGACCTGAAGCGACAGGCTCTTATCGACAGACTTGGCCGCAGCAACTGCAGATCGCAGGCGACCAACCTGCTCGCGCCATACAGCGACCACATCAGCGGCCTCACGATCTTCACGTGCAGCCTGTGTTTTGTCAACTCCTGCAAGTTTCATACCCTTGCTTCCCGCAGCGGAGATAGACATGCTTTTTGCTAAAATCTTATCCCGATGCCATCGTTGTTTACGGCCAGCAATAACTCGCGCGGCAGTTGTTGCTAAGAGGATATAACCATGCAGGAATTTTGTAGCTTTCGGATCCGATAAGATTCGCTGTTTGATTGATGTGCTGTGGCCTGAAATAGGCTTGAAGAAAGTTGTACCTGAGTTGAGAAGATCAGGAAATGCAGACAGGATGACTGAAGGAGGTGGGACATTGATTGGCGGAGAGGCATTATCCTGGGATTCCTTATGTGAAGGTTGGACATTATCAACTGCGTCCCAATCCCAACCCTCCGGTGCTTTTCCTGTGCTGGCGTTTGCTTTCTTATCATCGGAGCCAGTAAAATCGTCCCAGGTATCCCACTCATCATCCTGATACTTTGTTTCGGCAAGATTGGCGCCCTTGGGACTATCAAAGGATGGCCACGCTGTGGTGGGTGTTTCTTCCTTGGGTTTATTAACAGGTTTTGGTTCTTCGAAAGTAGGTGTTGTAATAGCCAACTCTGGGAAAGGATTACGATCCTGGAAAGAGGGTGATTTGGGTGCCTGGGGATAATTCGTAGCAGTGGCACCAAAAGCAAGAGGCCCGAGAAGCTTAGTGGGCGGTGGCCTTTTTGTTGTTTGAGATGAAGCGGGAGCTGGTTCATCTAAAGAAAGAAGATCCATTGATGGAGCAGCAGGTGGTGGTTCTCGGGCAGTAACTGCAGGTGCTATTTTCGTCGCCACTGGAGGAGGGACACCTTCAAAGTCTCCAAACTCATCATCGTCGTCGTCATCATCCTCACCTTCAGCAACCTGAAGCTCAAAGTCCTCAGCATCAAACAATACACTGGGATCTTGTTGTGCTGAAGGCTTGAGTTTCGCCTTCATCCGCTGTGGCGGCTCCTGATCGACTGTTGGCTGTCCCCATTCTTGCGTAAACCGTGACTGTGTTCCAGAGGGCTGGGCTTTTGGGCCACTGACGGGATTCGAAGCTCCTCCTATATCGACAAGACTGTTGGATAGTAGGTCCATGGTCGACGCTCTCACAACTCGAGTTGGCGGTTGCTGTTTCACTCCAGGCACTCGCTGGGCTACAGCTGCAGCCGAACTTGGGTCTGGCCGGGGCCATGGTATTGACGATGAGTTTGCTGAGCCTGGGGGTGCATATGCGGTTGGGCCCCAACTTGACGCGGAGAAAGGTACAGGACTCGGGGTCTTAACAGGAGCCGCATTAACTGTTGCAGGTTGTGAAGCCTCGGCGACTTCAAAATCTCCCCATCCATCATCGTCGTCATTTGTCTCCGCCGGCTTCGACGGTACCGAGGCACTTTCCCATACGCTATGCGCACTTGATTGGGATTCAAAGGCTGGCCATGGCTGGGTTTTCATAGGAGAGGCATTGCTAGTGTTACCTAACAGACCAAAGAGGTCCTGTGTTGCTGCCCGTTGAAGAGGTTCCCGTTGTTGCTGAGCTTGAGCTTGAAAAGGAATGGCCTGTTGCTGTTGCTGTTGACTTGGAGCAGGCGCTGAATTATTTGAAAGACTATTGAATTCGGCAAAGAGATCTGCAGACATAGTGCATCGCCTAATAATGCATTACTTCGAGAGCACGTGTCGTAAGATGCGCTTTATGAGGGCAGTGGTGAGGTTCAAAGAGAGGCGTCAAAGAGGTGAGCTGAAGGGGGGCCGTGTGGTGGTGACATGATGCTATTTGTTTGGCGGTTAACCCCTGAGCTGTCCACCTCAACGTCCTGGGGCCTGCGCAGCGGAGTCCAGTATAAGCAGTCTAGGGCAACCTGAGATAGCGAGAAGGAAGTGGGGCCGAGCTATTGAGACCAAGACCCAATTGAACCTGAAGAGCCGACACGTTAACTGGTAACTACCTCACATCAACTACCTACGTCAACGTTGAATCAAGGTTTCTGTCCATCCTCCGCCATCAACTTTACAGTGCCGGTAGCCTACACATAACGTTGTTACTCTCAGTTCAGTTCTTGTCTGCAAAGCCGGTAGACTGACCTAATACTTTTCTTTTGGTGCAGCCAGGCATCATGAGACCCCTCCAAGAGTCGCTGTATGTTGCGCCTGGTAGCGACAACAAAATAAAACTTCCACTGACCAGAGTACCCCTACGTAGTTCGAGATGGCGCGAGACACAATCTCAAGGTGCGCACCTTGGTGATCTTCGACGTGCGGTTCGGTATAATGGTCCCGAAAGTCCATGCATATCAGGATGTCGATCTCTTTGTTGGAAGGTATGTTCACCTGTGCTCATTGACTGATGTCCATAACTAAACCTTTATCCAAGACTTTTCTTCTTTCTACTGCTGCTGAAGGGCTGAGCTGGGCTCAAGTCTTGGACGATGAAAGAAAGCTCTACGCTGAGAAACGGGATCACTTCCTCAAGTATATAAAACATCCAGAAGCTCTTGCAGAGTTGAACATCGATCCTTTAACAGAGGACCCCAGTGTAAGGCCGACCAAACTGGAATTTAATCAAATAGCTGATTTATATGATATGCAAAAGTCTCCCTGGAATACGATTCGTCAAGATGAGATTGTCCGTGCTGAGATCCAGCAAGACGTTCAGCGACTCCCCGATGAAGCTTCATACCATGAAGACCAGACCCAGTCAACCATCTTGAACATCCTGTTTATGTACTGTAAACTGAATCCTGAGCGAGGTGGCTACAGGCAGGGCATGCATGAGTTGCTTGCGCCTATTTTACATGTTATTGAGCAGGATGCCGTGGATCCAACGACTTTACCGGAAGAGATTCCTCTGCATGATGCTCTTATCAAAACTCTCGACCATTCTTTCATCGAGCATGACGCCTTTGTCCTGTTCTCAAAGCTTATGGAACGCGCCCAATCGTTTTACGAAGTCAAGGATGTTATTCCAGCACCAGGAAGTTCTTTGCGGACCCCCAAGTTCGCAGAGCAAAGCTCAGCGATTGTTGAACGAAGCAAATTCATCCATGAAGTCTGCCTACAGAAAGTTGACCCGGAACTGGCCACTCATCTGACCAACATTGAAATCTTACCACAAATCTTTCTCATGTAGGTATTGACCCATGCACCTATTCTAACGTCGTCACTGACGTCAGAATACCTAGTCGGTGGATTCGGCTGCTCTTCAGCAGAGAGTTCCCATTTGAGCAGTTTTTGGTACTCTGGGATACCATCTTTGCTGTCGACCCAACCCTGGAACTCATCGATCTAATTTGTGTTGCTATGCTGATTAGAATTCGGTGGGATTGTAAGTTACTTGGGCAAAGAAAGTATGCTCGAGCCCTGGCTAACGCCCTTCTTAGTATTGGAGGCCGATTATTCTGTTTGCCTTCAACTACTTCTCAAATACCCTCCTCCACCAGGAGCTCACGGTCCTCATACATTTGTTGATGACGCTCTGTACCTGAGGGACCATCTCTCGCAATCTGGGGGATCATCACTGATTATGAAATATACTGGAAAGATGCCGACATTATCTTCTCCACCACAGACCTCACGAGCAGGCACTCCGAGCTTTCGTGGTTTCAACTCTTTTAAGCACAGAGGGCCAGGCCCAAGGCCAAAAATATCATCCCCATCGCGCTTCCTTCAGCAACAGGGTGGCATGGAGGCTTTGTTTCAGGGAGCCGCCAAAGGAGCCAAAGGAGTTTATGAAAGAGGCGAAAAGCTGGGTATCAACCAAGCCGTACGAGATGCTATGGGAGAGATCAAGCGGAATCTCAACGAGGCTAGATCTGCACCTAGATCTCCGCAACCCCTGGTAAACAACCAAGAATCAGCCCGGAGCCTGGCGGCATTGGAGAGGCGGAATCAGCAACTTGCCGCAATGCTTGATGAGACAGTCGATAACCTAAAAGCTATATCTGCCTCGAATCTTGACGACAAGGCTAAAAGCCTGGAGCTGATCGAGATCGCGGCGGCCAAGGTGCAGTTTGTCAAGATTTACTTGGACGATTCTTCTATGGAGGTCCCGGCGTTGCAAACTCCACCACCCGAGGATAGCCCACAAGAAGTGGCTGTAGCTGAAACAGCTATTGTTCAGCCTGAGCCTGTGTCAGTGGCATCCATGGAGGCTGATATCTCGGCTCTTCAGATATCCGAATCAAAGGAATCAAAGGAATCTCCAGAGAGCGAATCAGCACGCCACCCTAGCTCTGATCGTATGGACATAGTCCCGCACGATGATGGCAAATCTGCAAACTCATTGGCTCCGTCACGGCCAGCTCCAGTCCCTACTCGTTCAACGCTGGCGCAATCGTCTTTCTCCTGGATGCTGGAGCCAGACGAGTCGGGGTCTTCAAAAGCGTCTCCGGCGTCTAACAAGTCACCACCGCCCCAGCATAAGAAAAAGATGTCGAACAGCGCAAGCCGTGGGAAGAATGCCTTCTTGTTTGGCGAAGTCACTGAGAGTCGAAACCCCTTGAACTCAGATGAGATATTTGGCCTGGAGCCTCTGAAGAAACTCAAGAACGCCACAGATGAGGAGAATACAAAAGAGTAGATTAGGCCCAGACGCATCCGCACAGGGTGAGGTCATCCTCCAATACAACGGAATAGCATATTGACCTAATGATAATACGCGCTGGCATTTGTCGAATTCTTCAATGTGATATCCCACAATACTTGGGACAATCGCCTTTCGTCTGGCCGGAAACTTCTGGAGCTTCTACCGCATCCAGGAGACCTGGGGGACCCGAAGTATCGCCATAGATTTCACAGAATTCTGAATGCTACATCCGTCCAAGATTTAATGTATCTCATGGATATAGCAATTTATGGCGAGGAAGGACGCTACCCCAACGCGAGTCCTGCTTACTGTTTCCTGGAGAACAAGAAGACGGTTGCTATCGAATATAGCCAACACTGTGGAACACTCGATATGCTAGAGACATCTCTCTGGGCTCGTTTCTGCGTGAAACTCACTCAACACTGCCTCAACAAATCTGGTACCTTCTTCTACGAATCATATCCTCATCTGAGATATTGCTCCACGATTCACGACTTTCTCAAGGAACAAGGCCTGGGGGAGTTGTCCAAATGCTTCCTGCCACAATCAAACCATCTCAAAGTGCCGGATCTGAGATATCGGCATCCTGTTGTAAGTGCTGCGCCCCCCGAGGAGCTCAGTGCGATTCCAAATTTGTCTTCAAAACATCTATTCGCATCTCATTTCCAAGATTATAGTCTCCTGACTGATAGAAGAGAAGAATTCCAAAAGTACATAAGAAACGAGAGCTACTATTTTGGCATTGAGCTCTAATTGTACATGCCTGTTTTGCTACCACATGAGGGCCGGCCCGATCCTCATCCCAACGATGGCAGGGAACTCAGCCGTGCCGAGCAATTCCCCAGCAGAGTTGCTCTAATGAAAGAAATCATCAGTTCTAAGGGGTCGTTAACTCTGGTCTGGGATGAGTATTTCGACCAAAAGTCCTGGGAGAGCAAGCTCCTCAGTCATGGGATGGTGCCTGTCGACGATATCGACCCTCAATGTCAGACGTGGACCATTGGAACCGATGTATCGCTGCATCAAATTTCTGCGTGGGGAGGTTACAAGCGGCTAAATGGTTTGGAGATTGTCAGTCCCGTTCTTAGAAATACGCCCGAGTGCTGGGAAGAGGTACTGGATATGGACTCCATCCTGCGAAACAACTTCAGATTGACAGTGGGCAAATCATGTGGCTTCCACGTCCATGTAAGTAAAGGCACTGGGCCCATGCTGTTATACCTCGTGCGTGAAGTTTGTGTCCTTATGTATTTGGCGGAGAATATTGTTTACCGCCTTTGTTGTCCTGGAAGAAGGAAGTCAAAATACGCACCGCGTCTAGCATCATTACTGGAACCTCTATGTACCGATCAGTGGTCGCAAATGAATGTTCCAGCTGACTTCAAACAGTATGTTCCTGTCGACAAGGTCATCGACCGCCGTACCTTGGGGATTCTGAAGAAGCCATGGACGGCCAAAACTCTACAACGGCTCAAGCTTCTTATAACTCCTAGCATGGGCTCCAAGTCTTGCTTCGATCTTTCTAAGTGCCATTCCTTTGATGAGTTTGGTGAAGGCTCCAAAGATGAGTGTAAAGGGACCGTTGAGTTTCGCTTCCTCGAAGGTACCCTGGATCCTGAGCTGATTTTTCGGTGGAGTCAATTGATGGTTTCTCGATCCCAGTTTGCTGATCTAGCTTCACCACAAGCATGGCAGAATTTTGTACCTGCAGTACTGCAGTGTCCAGCCTTGGGCAAGATGGACCCGAACGTGCTGAGAGTCTTTTTGTTATTCTTAGGGAAGGGCGACGATTATGACTTCTGGGTCAATCGGATCGAAAGGACGATGAATCTGCCCCTCGACGCACAACAACTGGCTCACAGGCCAATTGATAACAATGAGCTTCTGCCCCCACTCGATGAAGGGTACATTGATGCTTTACGAGAGGAGCTGTGTATACCAGAGAGATGAAATTGCCTTGTACGATCCAGAAAGCGGCGACCCTCAACGAATTTGAATCTTCATTCAATTGATCCAGCCGACCTTGCAAAACTACTGTCCGAAAAGGCCAGCTTCTTTGATCCTTAAATTGCAGAGGCTTTTGGCACTGCTTGTGGACAGAAATGTTGACGGACAGGAGAACAAGACTGGGCCAGCAAATACACTAGAAGAGGGGATTAAAATGGTATAAATACTGAATTGCTTCATTTCTCAGCCTCAGCCGTAGATAGATGAAAAAAGAACTGTCAAGTCACGACCAGGACTGAGACACAGAAAAAGAACATAGACCAGGCACAGGAGTTGGGGCTTTTGTTTGCAAAACTGTCATTTTTCTTCAATGTGGCGGTTCATGTGACGTAAGGCAACACGATGCCGTTTTGAGACAGGCAGAGTACTTGTTAAATTGTAGAAGGGAAACCCACTCGCCCGAAGAAATATGTGGATGTGTAGTCGATAGCTGTGGCGTGGCTCATCTGTTACTCGATGGCACAGGTGCTTTGCTCAAACATGTTGTAGTAGTATTAATACTGGGTATCATTTCCTCACGAATCCTATGCTGGAGACGTATGTTCTCTCTCGATAATATCCTCGCGCGCCAGTGGTCGAATTCCATCGTTGAGAACCATCGCTTCTCGATGTTGCCGTCGTAGCCTTTGCTCTTCGGCTGAATGTTCTCTGGTTCGTGTCGCTTGCTGTTCGACAAGTGGTAAGTTTCCCGCCTCCTCTTCGATCTCCATGATCAGGTCTGGGAGTTCACGAATTCTCCTTCTGGAATTCTCCTTGTCCATGAGCCCTGCCCTTTCCAGAGCCCTGAGGCCGCGTCTTGATTCCTTGATTCGATCGACAATCTCGACAATCCTATTTGTCTTGAGTGCCATATAATCCCTGAAGCTTTGGCGTCTTTCTTCCGGGGTATCGCCCCATTCCTGCTTTGCTAACCACTTTTCGACGAAGCGTGCCTTAACCAACATGCTGGCACCGTACTTATTGGCGAGCTCCAGAATGAACATTAAGCAGAACCTCTCGGCCATGTCACGAAGGTAATACTCGTCCCAATGGCTATCAGTGAGGCTCGGTCGCTCGGTATCGTCCAGGCTAAGCTCTAAAGAACGGACAAGAGCCGAGTAGGCTTTGGGATTGTTTAGCTTTGAGAGTCCATCCAGTCCTGGAGTGTCAGTTATATCTTATCACTTTATTTTGCAAAACTCACCAATAGTCTGTCCAGTAAGCAGGGCTAAAGCCCGAAGACATCGCATCCTCTCATCATAATCTGGTCGAGTGATGCCGAATAGCAATATGTGAGTTGTCTCGGAATCGTTGACGGCCCGATCGCAAAGGATCTTGATCGCAACTTCTCTTATAGAATAATTCGGATGATCTAATAGCTTCTCAAGCGTTTCGAGTTCAAGCGAGTCTTCCGTATCTTGAGTGATGTATTGTGTCTTTGGCTGTGATGGCGGAATTTCGTTGTCGTCTCTTATGATGGTGAGGGCAGTGAAAACGGTACTCACTACACCAAAGGTGGCGAAACCTAAGGTGACAAGAACAACCCTCTCATCCCGAGCAAAGCTTAGGAGGCTGTCAGCCCATCCCATCTTGGTTGAGTCTGTTGGTTGAGTTCATGCTTTATTAAAGTATTGGCAAATGAGTCCTTCATAGCTGTCCCAGGACTCCTGACGTAAAGTATTCTGCCAAGGCTCACCGCCGGATCATGCTCAGATAAGGTTAGACTACCCGTAGCTTCGCATGCGGGCCCCACATGAAACTTGATAATGATAAGACTTTTTTTCTATCGCAAAAAAACTGAAAGTTGCTGCTACCAGCGCAGCTTTCGCATCAGCAGCATTATCAGTCGCAATGGCCGGCTCCCAGCTCAAACGCCTCAAGGCGTCTCTCAAAGAGCAAGGAATTGTCGGCCCTCAGCAATCGAAGAAGCAGAAACGACGCAATGCTCAGGATGAGCGTTCTCGAAATGATAAACGACTTCAGCGCGGAGTGGTCTTGGAGGGGATCCGCGAACAATTCAATCCTTTCGATCTCAAGCATGCCAAGGGCCCAAAATTCGAAGTCACGAGTAACCGGCCTACGTTGACTGCTGGCAGTATCAAGGGTCGTCCTGGCCAGGCCAAAGCAGCTAGCGAGGAGAGGGTAAGTTCCAGCATTCTATTCGCGAGGCGCCATTAGGGCAGTGGAGGTGACAAGATCTGTTCACATCAACTATTGAAATCCATGTCAACCTTGATATAATCGCAAATCAGGTTTCCATCAGAATCAGCTAACTTTCCTAAAGCGCCGGCAAACCCTTCTGGTCGAGATGCAACGCCGCAACAAGGTTGGTGGAATTCTCGATCGTCGATTTGGTGAAAACGATCCCACAATGGCCCCCGAAGATAAGATGCTTGAACGATTTGCCCGAGAGAAACAGAGAAGTCACAAGAAGAACTCAATGTTTGATTTGGAAGACGACGATGCATCAGAAAGCTTGACCCATATGGGCAAATCTCTGTCTTTTGACGATATAGACGATTTCAAAGAAGATGATCTCGAAGAAGACTACGACAGCGATGGCTCGGTGCGTGAACAGCAGAGATTGAAGCGTATTCGTGCGTTAGCAGCCCAGGGTAGTGATGGCGAGGACGATGAACCGGAACGGAAAAAGACGAAGAAGGAAGTGATGGAGGAGGTTATCGCCAAGTCCAAACACTACAAGTACGAGCGACAAGCTGCAAAGGAGGAGGATGAAGAGCTCCGAGAGAAACTCGACAAGGAGTTGCAAAACATCCAGTACATGCTGCACCACAGCCGACCAGGCGCCAAATCTCAGAACGAGGGAGCTGCAAAACCCACCATCGCTGGAGTTGACCGAGAGGCCTTCGAGAAGAACTTCGATCTTCAAGTAAAGAAATTGGCCCAGGACAAGAGGGCGCAGCCTGCCGACCGCACCAAGACTGAGGAGGAGAAGGCTGAAGAAGAGTCTACAAGACTCAAGGAGCTGGAAGACAAACGCCAGAAGCGTATGAGAGGAGAGTCAGTCAGTGACAGTGAGGATGAAGAAGTTGATAACAAGGGCAAGAAGCCTGAGCTTGATGCTATGGATCTGGACGATGAGGAAGACTTTGGCTTGGGCAGCGGTATCCGAGCTCGACCTACTGCTACTGAGCTTGGCTTTGACGATGAAGATGATTTCGTCATCGACGATGATCTCGTGGCTAGTGGCTCGGACCTGGAACTCGGCAGTGAGGATGAATCAGACATGGATGATGTGGCTGATGGGGAAGCTGAGGATGAGGAGGATGACTTTACCAAAGGGTTACTTAACGAGGAAGAGAGTCGAAATCCTGTTTTCGATCCCGAATCGACGACAAAAGCCTCGGCGATGCAGAAGGGTGATGAGCAAGGCCTCCCCTACACCTTTGAATGCCCTCAATCTTGCGACGAGTTGCAGGCCATTTTGGCCCCATACCCAACCAAGACCTTCCCTACAATTGTCCAGAGGATTCGTGCCCTCTATCATCCCAAGCTCAGCAGTATGAACAAGGAGAAGCTTGGCAACTTTGCAACTGCTTTAGTTGACTACATCGGTCTGCCCTGGGACCCTGCCACTTCTGCCCCTTTTACGGTGCTTGAAAGCATTGTGCGACACATCCACTCTCTCGCAAAGATGTTTCCTATCGAGATTAGCAAGCAGTTCCGCAAAAATCTTGAAGAAATGGGAGAGTCTCGACCCTTGGCACTAGGAACCGGAGACTTGGTTTTGCTTTCTGCAGTTGGCACCATCTTCCCTACATCCGATCACTTCCACCAAGTAGTCACTCCTGCTGTGTTGACAATCACTCGATACCTTGGTCAAAGAGTACCACAAAACCTGGCACATTATGCTATTGGTACATATCTCTGTATTCTTGCTGTCAGCTACCAGAAACTTGCTAAGCGCTACGTGCCCGAAGTTATCAACTTCTCTCTGAATACACTCTTGGCTCTGGCCCCTGTTGCCACTTCCAAGAAGGTCGGAAATTTCCCTCTTCACATCGCTCCTGAGGGCATCCGCATCGAAGCTGCGACTAAGTCAGAGTTTCGGAGACTCAACTTCTCAGACTGCATCGAGCAAGAAGCCAAAAAGACTGAAACGATAGCCCGCAAGATTTCTATCCTCGATACCACAGCACAAGTTGTAGAAAATGCAGCAGATATGTGGACTGGGAAGAGTGCATTTCTCGAGACCTTTAGACAGGCTGCGAGCGTACTCAAACACCTCGGCAGCAAAACTTGCAGGTCTCAATTACCTACTGCTCTCAATGAAAGAATTGAGAAGCTGCAAGTCAAATTCGACCGCATGCTTAAGGTTGCGCAACTATCGCGCCGCAATGTTGAGCTGCATCATCATCGCCCCCTAGCAATCAAAACCTATGTACCCAAGTTCGAGGAGACATTCGATCCTGATAAGCACTACGACCCCGATCGCGAGCGAGCAGAGTTGGCCAAACTCAAGAAGGAGCACAAGAAGGAACGCAAGGGTGCTCTTCGGGAGCTGCGTAAGGACGCCAACTTCATGGCACGCGAGAAGTTACGGATCAAGAAGGCGAAGGACGAGGCGTACGAGAAGAAGTACAAGCGTCTTGTTGCCGAGATTCAAAGCGAGGAGGGTCGCGAGGCGAATGCATACGAGCGAGAGAAGTCTGCGAGAAAGAGGGCCAAGAACAGGTAAATGGATTCAACGGCGTAGGTATAGGCTCAGGATACCAATATATGTTTTCGCATGTCCATTTAATGTGTGCTGTTAAGAAAGCGTGTAAATACATCATTTGTAGAGAGTCCTGAGGCTCAAAGGACTAATTCAGAATGGACCAGATGTTACAATACGGCAAAGATTAGTAATCTTACGAGCATTGCCCTCAGTAAACCGCCCAGTAAATAGCCCAAGAAGTCAATGTCTGTTGTTGCAATGGTGTCTAGGTAAACTTAACAGATAC